TTTATTAAGGCTTATAAGAATTATATTTAAATTATTAGAAAAAGGTTTAGGATTAAGAAAGATTTATTATAAATAGACTAGTTATAAATATCTTAAATAAATAAACTTTAATTCTTATAAATTTCTAATTTCTAAAATAAGAATATTAAATACTAGCTTTATTTAGGACTTAATAAAGAATTAGCTAATACTTTCCGAAATCCGCTTATTTCTTAATAGAATATAATTATATTATAATAATATTAGTATTAAAAATATTAAGAAAAATAAATAAAGAATTTATAATAGCTATATATATCTTATAAAAGGCCCGAATTTCTAAAGTTAGATCCTAAATAGCTATAAGTATTATATTATTAGTATTTAAAATACTAGTAATAAATTACTTAGTAATCTTAATAATAAGCTTAGTAATAAGATTAATATCTTAAAAATAAATATTATAATATTTTTTTAAGAAATTAGTAAGTATTTAAATATATTAGAAAAAACTTATTTTTAAAATACTAATTTAAGTAATATTATTATTTGCCTTATTAAAATAGGAAAAAGAATTCTAAAGCTTATTAGTATTTTTCTAATCTTTAAAAACCTAATTAATAGTATTATTCTTATTAATATAATATTATTTAGAATATATTTTAAGAAATTTCTTAAAGATTATAATAGTATTTTCCTAGAACTAGTAAGCCTCTAATAAGTAATAAGAAATCTGAAATTATATTAGTTTTAATAAATATTAAAATTAAAGAACTTACTAATATATAAGATTTAGAACCCTTATTATAATAGTTATAATTTTTCTTATTAGGTATTATAATATATAAAATAAAGAAATTAATAAGTAAATACTTGAAATATTTCAAGTATTTACTAGTAATAGGAAAGAAAGCTATAAGATTACTTTTATATTTATTATTATAAAGGCAAATAATAAAGCTAGAAGAAAATATTATAGAATTAATTAAAAATAATTAAAGAAGGCTTAGAGAAAAATAAAAAAAGAGGCTAAAAAATAATAATAAAAAAGTTATTATATATATAATTATTAGAAAGGAAAAGAGTATATAGTAATATAAAAAGGTTCTTTTATAGAGATAAAGAACTATCTGAATTAACTACTAGTTTTTATACTAGTTCTAATTAGAAACTAGTATAACTAATTAATATATATTTCCAGGAACCTATAAATAATTTCTAGGATCTCAGAAATATTTATATAAATTTCTTATATAAATATTTATTAAATTCTTTCTATATAGCTATTTAGATTATTCTAATACGAGATCTAATAAGTAGTATTAATTTTATAGAATAGTACCTTAGTATTTTAGATTAAGCTAATTAGAATACTCAGATTCTAAATAAAATTATAATTACTAGCTAGCCCTTATATCTGGGGTATAATTACCTTTCTTTTTCACTTACTTAGCCCTAATCTAATTAGATAATTTTTATATCTATTATCTAGATTATATTAGTAAAACTATTTCCTAAGATACTAGAAGTTTATATTAAATAAATAAATAATTAATTAAATATTTACTAGAATAAATTAATAGATCTTAGGAACAAGATCCTAGAAAAGAGATATAATTATAATATATATAGGATTATATATAACTTAAGGGCATATAATAAACGTCGGATATTATAAATATTAATTAGAAAGATTAGTAGCCCTTTAATATCCTAATTAATTACTATTTATATTATATATATTAGGCTTATAAATTACTAATTATATATATACTATTAAGGCCTCCTATTTAGAGGGGGCTTCCCTGAACCTTATAGGAGAGACAGAGATTAGTTCTATACTAAATTTAATACTATAGTTTTATAATTCACTAATTTATTCTATTATTTTATTACCTACTAATAAATACCTTATATATATCTGGGGTATAATTATTCTTTCTTCTCGCTTATTTAGCTCTAATTTAATTAGACGATTTTTATGTCTATTATTTAGATTATATTAGTAAAATTACTTCCTAAGATACTAGAAGTTTACCTTAATTAAATAAATAATTAATTAAATATTTACTAGAATAGATTAATAAATCTTGGGAATAAGATCCTAGAAAGAGGATATAGTTATAATATATATAGGGTCGCACGTGACTTAAGAGTATATAATAAACCTCGGATATTACAAGTATTAATTAGGGAGATTAGAGGCCCTTTAACTTTATAACTAATTACTATTTATATTATAAGTATTAGGCTTATAAATTACTAATTATATATATGTTATTAGGGCCTCCTATTTAAAGGGGGCTTCTCTGGACCTTATAGGAGGAATAGAGATTAGTTCTATACTAAATTTAATACTATGGTTTCATAACTTACTAATTTATTCTATTATCTTATTACTTACTAATAAATACCTTATAAATACTTCTTAACTTACTTAGAGTTCTATAGAAAATAAAGAAGTATAAAGAGCTTTTAAAGTATCTATAAACTCTAATTCCTCTTCTATAATACTCTTTATTAATTTTACTTTCTTCTCTTGGTTTTACTACCCTACTATCCCGTACTCCTATTTATAAAGACTAGGCAGATTAGCCTATACTATTAATATTATATATATGAAAACGAGGTATTAATTATATTAAAAATCATATAATATAATTAATAAATAGTATACCTATTACTTCTTTGGTTTTACGTATATAAGAGAAGGTAGAAGCGGTATTAGAGAGGTTAATTTTAGCTAGTACTCTTGCTAGATAAAGGGTACTAGATCTGGGCCTTGCGGAGAAAAAGTATTTAGCTAGAAAAGAAGGAGCTAGTAAGATTATTCAGAAATATAGGGAGATTACTATAGAGCAAGGAAGAAATAATATTGAGGCAGATAATGAGGATAAAGCTCGGATAGTTAATATAAGGCATGCTAGGCTAAGTAAGCCTTGGAGAAATAAGTATAAAAAAATAATATAAAGGTTTGAAGCTAATTACTAGAACGTAATTAATTGGAAAATGAAGGCTACTGATTACGATTTATGGGAAAAATAGGGGTTGTGGTGGGCTAAAACTCCATGGTTCTATGTATATAGGGAAAAATTTGCGTATTGCTGGTTTTTACGTATTGCCCTCCCTCACCTGGTAAGCGTGCTAAGCGAGAACCAGGTGAGCCCGGCCGAACGAGTACACTCTCTCTGGTGTAATAGGCGCCACAAACACTGCGGTGGAGCGCGGAATCCCAGAAATAGCAATTTCCGCCGGCTACGGGGTCTGAACTTCATGCTACCAAACAAACGTAACCACTGCAGCTGGTCTCAAAGATTCCGCCACCTACACGGGCGGGGTGGCGGCCAATCTCTCACAACAACTCATCACCAATGCCAAAAGCGGTGCTATCCTCCATCTAGCCTATGGCGTGAGCGTGGACATGCCGCTCATCACCTCCGTTACCAGGAACTCGTGCACAAACCAACCATTCATCCACGCACACCTCACAGGCGGCGCAGACGTCGACAGCGCAGCGTACAACGCCACAATAGGCTCTCCGCCTGTGTCAATGTCACCCCAGCAGGCACAAATCAATGCATCAACGGCGACTGCTCCTTGCCATGCGAGATCACCATTTTGTCCTTGGATACCAGTCTTCAGTCTCGGTCTTCACAGTCGAATACGATGCACCGTGTAATACCATTCTTCTTCCGACGTGCGGGTTTTGCTGGAGCAGCTGGTGCAGTACGCTAATTTTTCGAGGCTGGTTGGAGGCTCGAATGGGACGACGACTGTGTTCGGGATTCGATGAGTGGTGGGAATGGGACTGTGACGACGAGCCTACGCCGAGTGTGACGTATACGAGCCCGAGCGCCAATTCTGCTGGGTTTGCTGAGGTGCGGTGAGTTGCGCCAGCGCCGGCGTTGGTGTTGCTGTTGTGTTGTATATTTGGGTCGTGTAAGGAGGGATTGTGTTTTGGTGTTTGGATGACTTGAGAACGAAAAGTAGGAGATAGAAGATGAGTTGTATATCGCCTTGTAGATAGACTGTGCAAGACTTGAACTTCATAAAAGTTACAATGCCATGCCTCTTTGTCGTTGCGCTGCGTAGTGACTGGCTTGAAGCGTTGGCAAGCCAGTAGACAGCCCCTTTCCCCTCGCTTAAAGTTTTAGGGGCTCATGGGGCTCATGCTCTCTCTCGAATTCCAAGTACATGTATTTCAATCAGCGCATTTTCTACCAACAAAATTTTATGGCGCTATTGCCGAGGCCCTACGCACTTTTCTACCACTTCATCCTTGCGCAAACCAAAAATCTCCAAGAAGCTCACGTTAACATCCTCTCAGAAAAACACTCAATGCAGCGGAAGCGAGACTTGATCTCGTGACCAGCGCAACCTGGTGAATCAGGACAATAAGGATTCACCAGTTGTACGGGGCAGTAGGCGTGAGCATTGTGCTGAATCCTCCTGAAGTAAGTCCTATCAAGGAAATTATGGGCGTTCGGCCAACAGGTTTATGTGTTGCTGCGTTTCCTTTCAGCTTTAGACGGATTCTGGGCTGGCTTGCAGTTGGCTCGATGCGAAAGGTATGAGCATGTGAAGCATCGGCGGAAAGCGGGTGCGTGGCGGAGACGAAGGCATCTGCCAGCTGGCGATGTGAGAAGAAGTGAGAAGGAAAGGGGGGAAAACCAAAAGTGAGCTCCTCTATTTCCTTAAATCAGCGCATATCATAGGACTAGTGCAGGGAAGGCCTCGGCAGCCTATTTCAAATACTGTTACTTTGCTAGTCACACTAACTAAGCTTTGTTATAGGAGATACTCTAGTTCACCTCTCAATATTCTCTAGGTCGTTATCTTTCGCGACCTGTTTTTGGACGTATTGTCGCACGAGTAAGTGGAGTATTATACGATGTCACTTGCAACCGCTCCTTCGCATGTTGATGAGACCCTCCACTTTTCTTTACTTGCTCATTGAGGAAGCACTTTCCGCGTTGGCCACCTCTCGATCGTACTTGCTGTGGCGGAGTTCAATCCTTCCTTGACATGATATGTGGCTCTCACTAGAAGGAAAAGAACGAGTGTGCCCCTATGAGGTAGAATTTTGATAGTACGACCTTCCTTACTTGATCCCAAGAACATGCTCGCTAAGGGATCGGACGTTGTCCTCGCCTTTCCATACCCATGTCACCTTCTCAGAGAAGTGAACACACTAACCAAGTCCAGCTCCAGCGAGTTATCTAATCCTCGGCAGCATATGCTTGAAAAGATCCGGCACAAATGCGCCTCCCTCTTCAATCAGATCCGTAAATGCTTTGCTTTTCGACATCGCGTCCACATTGGCAGCAATATATCGGCAAATCAGTTTCCTCAGGTCATCGATTCCAGTTTCCAGATGGGGAGTCTCGGAGTATCCGTAGCGCGCAAGCTCAACGATGTCAGGAACCTCTTCCACATCAAGTTTAAGCATATTGAGGTTCTCGTGTAGTTTGTAAAGCGTCAGGACTTTCAAGCTTTCTACGCCCCATTTGTCGGCTAGGACATAGAGTGACGTGTGACTGAGCAGGGACTCGAAGATGTGGTATCGGGATCCTTTGATCATTACAGGATGGCAGGAATCTGCAAACTTGGATCGAGGTTGGAGGAGAGGATATGTGAGAGACTTGAAGGGCGTATACGTTGTCTCTTGTGGAGTCAGATCATGCTTGAATCCTTTCTTCTTGACAGTCTTCTTGGTAGACGAAGAGCCCCAATCAAATTCGATATCCTGGGCGCCTGGCTGAATGTCTACAGGTACCTCCTCCCTTTGATTGTTGACAGCTTGATTGATCACAACCATCTGTGGCACCGAATAGTCTCCCGTGTAGGCAAATTGTGCGAATCGAACGAAAGTTTTTTCGTCGACGTCTTTCCAAGAAGCCAGACCGTTCATGCTTTCTGACATCTTCCCTCGCATCAATATATTCAACGCAGCGGACTGATTTGCGATTGCTTCTTCATGTACTGCAATCTCAATTTCATCCGGTCCAATGAGGAATTTGAAAGGGCGAGAAAGTAGCATTCTGAGTAGCTTAGTGGATGTTCGGTAAAGGTGCATGTAAACCAGGCAACATTTAGACCTTCTTGCATAAACAGGGAGTCTTGCTGGAGCGGGCCGTCGGCTTAAAGAAAAGCCCGAGTTACATTGCATACTCCGGATCTGGTCCCAATGGAAGCCTCCCTTGGGGTCGTTAGGAAATTCGAACTGGTAGAGGGGATTGTCCATCGGTTCATAGTCCGTCTTTCCAGGACGCCGAACATTGAGTCATGAGGACGACTGGGATCCCGTACGTGTGCTGCTCTTGGTCGACCAACTTTTCACGGGGCAGCAAAGAGTGAAAATACGGGATACGGAATTTTGGCAGAACGGTATGCTCCTGGCCTAACACTTTAGCAATCTCCGCTGCGTGTAAGTACAAGGCTTGCTACATCAATCTCGTTAGTTTCTCTATTTTAGGAGTCCTAAGTAATTCATACCTCGAATTGTGCAAGATAAACGCGGTGCCACGTGGGAAATAGGACGGAACCATAGGCACAGTAACCTGCCCCACGTTTGTTCAGGGGCTCCCCTGTTGGCGTGTATGGGACATTTTCGACTCCGTCCCAGGGCCGGTACGGTTGACTGTAGATATCAGAAATTTCATATTAGGAGAATGGCTGGGACAAGATGTCATCCTTCGTGAAAGCTTCAAGAGCCAGAAAGTACAAGTTGGCTAGGTCGGCAACCGCCAGGAAATCATCGATCTTCAGGCGTAGCGCTTGGATGCTGCCATCTGTTGGAATCAGACCAATGGCCAAACACTTATCTTGGGCAGCCTGTAGTGCGACCGTGTCGACAGACATGGTGAGGCTCTTTTTGAATTACTGGCAACGAGACTGAACGCTTGACCAAAAGTTTCTTGAGAAGATTTGACAAAGTGAAGATTGGAAGTATCCTGATAGAAAAAGGACCGTTGTATCGAAGGAGTCAAGGAGGTCTCACATATAGATATCTTTTCAGCCATCTCCTGCAGGAATTGCTGTTGTCCGATATCACAGGTTCGGTAAACCGACCCCTTCCCTCAGGTTTTCCCACGACCTGTTCATCTTTCGACCATATACTGCACGTCATATCCTGGAACAATTGCACGGAAAGCTCTAGGTGTGGCGAGACTTCTGGTTTAGAGTGACGATTCTCCCTGCATTTCAGCCCTTCGTGCCCCGCAAGAAGCCCCGTGACAGCCGGTGGAGATAGGCTTATGTAGAGGGATGAGAAACAGAGGTAGAGGCTGAAGAATGTGGTTTTGGTTCGTTCCAATCGTCTCCAGACACTCGCCGCCGCCGCCAAGTGGACACCAGAATTGCCGTCGCCCAAAAGCCCGTATGAACTCCTACAAGAATGTGGTAAAGGAGTGCCTCCGATCTCTGTTCAAGTCAACAATCCCGTCCATGTATGTCGGCGGCCGCAATACGAGGAGACGAACCAACAACGCCAAGGTGCGGGCTGAAAGCGCCTCCGATTCTGGACGCCTATCGAACAGTGTGACGGACGTCGTGTTTTGCATGTCCGCACATACTTGTACAAGCTGAGGGTGATCAACTTTTCCACGTCAATGCTCGTCCCACTAATCTGCACGGAAGGTGCGGGACATCCCGAAAAAGCTTGCCCAGCAGCCCAACCCCGCATTCGGAACCCTCGAAAGAGCTGATGTCGCATTTCAGCTGGCTGCCGCTGACCGAATAGGTAGTTGAGCTGGCATGTTTGGCGTCTCCACCTGGCCTGAGGTCAAACAGGCCACGGTAATTGCCGTAGCCGGATCCATCTAGCCAGCCGGAATCAGAGAGGCAGGCAGCCCAGCTGGCCGGTTGCAGGGGGCTCACCAGGGGTGTCAAACTGGCCACGGTAATTGCCCTGGCCGGATTCATTTGGCCAGCCGGAATTAGACCCGCTAGCTAATAATGTAATATATAATTAAAACTATTTTCAAAACGTTTCCTGGCTAGTTTAGCTTATTTAGCACATTTAGCCTATTAACTAGCTAGTTTCTTAAAAATAAGCTAAAGCACATCTTGCTTTTTGTGATGTGTACAGGGTCGCACGTGACTTAAGGGCATGTGACGAACCTCGGATGTCGCGGGTATTAATCAGGGAGATCGGCGGCCCTTTGATATCCCAACCAACCACTGTTTATATCATATACATTAGGCTTATAAATTACTAATTATATATATACTATTGGGGCCTCCTATTTAGAGGGGGCTTCCCTGGACCTTATAGGAGGGACAGAGATTAGTTCTATACTAAATTTAATACTGTGGTTTCATAATATACTAATTCATTCTATTATCTTATTACCTACTAATAAACACCTTATAAGCTAATCTCTCTACCCTCAAAGAAGGTAGTTTAATAAGCAATTATGTCTCGGAATCTGCAAAATATATAACCCCTCGCCGGAGCTATTCCTATAGAGGAAGTTAATTAGATTAACCCTAATACGGGTAATGGCGAAGGCTCGTCTAATACTTTTAATAGGGCCCTTCAGGAGCCTTCAAGAGCCAGTAATAATAACAGAAATAATCCCGGCAATAATTAAGACGCCGAGATTAACGCCCAAGTTACTATTGCCTAAGCTATAGAACAGGGCTTATATACTAAAGTCAAAGCACTCTAATAAAAGCAAGAATTAGTAGATATAATTAACTAGTATATCCTATAGTTAGAGTAATATAAGGATATTCTCAGGGATATCTTACGGTTTACTATATCTTATAGAAACTCTATTTATAAGTCTACTTTTTCTTCTTTAGTAATTCCTACTAGGGAACTTCCTGAAATAGGATTAGAACTCACTTCCTTTCCTAATATAATAAGCTTTAAGAGTAATCTTAATATTATCCGTTAGGAGCTACTATATAATATCCTAAAGATATATTTAGACTAAGAGAAGCTTCTTAAGATCCGGATACCTAATTTATATTATAGAAAGTCTCTTAAAAAATAGAAGATATTTATATTTTCCTAGAAGGTAGTCTTTAGGACCTAACCTTAGACTTATAATAGATATTCTTCTAGAATTAACTCTATTATAAGTACCCTTAGGGATAAATCTTATAATATTTAGAAAGCTATAATAAAGCAAAACTTATTATTATATAAGGTTTATTAGGAGTAATTTAAGGCCTATTTAGCTAATATACTTTAAGTACCTCAAATCCGTTAATAAGACGCCTTTAAGGAGCTTTAAGATCTTTATTAGAAAGATAGTAAGATAGTTACCGAGTTATATACTCGAATAATTAGTCTCGAAATTAACTAGGACTTATACCCTAAGCAGGACCGGGTCTGGACTCTTAATATTACTTTATCTAACTATAAGACTTATTAGATACTTATATCTATTTTCTCAGGAAATAAAGTAATATCTATTTTCAAATAGCTTAAGAAAGCTTAGAAAGCAAAATATACTATTTATCCCAAATTAAGAAAAGTAAAGGTAAAGAAGTCTAGTAAGAGTAATTCTGCCCCTAAAGACTCTGATTTAGTAAATTCTAATTTATAAGGCTATTAAAAAAGAAAGAATAAGTTCCGAAAATTATATAAGAAATTCTTAGATAGTATTTCAGCTTCTTTAAGGCCTTAATAAAATACTAGTTCTATTTTAGATATGGTTTATTAGACTTATAAATAGAAAGAATACTTTTTAGGAAATATAAAATATTTCAAGTATACTAAATAGGCTTAATAGAACCCTAATAAGGCTAAAACCATAGAAAAGTTAAGGTATCTATAGAAATAGGTTAATACTATTATTATAAAGAAGTATTCTAGAGAAAACCCTTCTAAGAAACAGGGAAAAGAAAAGGCCAAATCTTGAATATTAATAATTTTAGTTATAATAAAAAAGGTATATTACTTTATATAACTATTTAAGCAAGATTAATATAGCCAGAAGTAAATATCTCAGAAATATATAGTAAACTTAGTAATACCGGATTAGACTATAACTTCCTTAATAATAATTAGGCTTAAAGCCAGGGCTTTATTACCTTAGCTAAATATAACTAAGGGTTTATAACTTTTTATAAGAATAGATTTAAGATCTATTAAGCCTATAATCTTAAGGTATTTATTATAGATAATTATAGCAAGATATATTCTTTTAAGCTCCGGTTCTATAGATATAAGAATATTGGCTCTTATAGCCTCGTCTTTAGTATAGAATTTTATAAAGTAATTCTTATATAATATATAGACTATATTAAGAAATAATAGATATATATATTTATATAGCCTAATAATATTAAGATCCTAATACCAAAAGAGTTTAATAAAGAGCTTAACTAGTATCCTGAGCTAGTACCTCAAGTCTTATTCTTAATAAAAGGCAAATATAACTATCTTAGATAATAGGCTTTATATATTTATAATAATTACTAGATCTCTATTTTATTATATAGTTCTAGTAATACTAAATAGGAGTTTTTAATATAGTAAATTAATATTCTCTAGAAAGGGGCTTTAGAAGTATTTATTTATTTTTGGAATAATAAATATAAAGACTTCTTAGAGGTTTTTAACTCTAATAAAGCTTTAGAACTTCCTAATCTTGGCAGTATTAAATACTTTATTAATATAGATAATATAGTTCCATATAGGCTTTTATATAATCTATTAGAAACCTAATTAGAAGTATTATATTTATATTTGCAGGATATATTTTATAAATATTAGATAAGGCCTAATAAAAGTCTAATAAGGGTATTTATTCTTTTTATTTCCAAAAAAGATAAAAGGCTATATCTTTATATTAATTATTATAGATTTAATTAAATTATAATTAAGAATTAGTATCTGCTTCCTTTTATTAATAAGACCCTTAACCGGTTCTAAGAAACTAAGATTTTTATAAAGCTAGATCTTAAGAATATATATTATTAGATAAGAATTTATAAAGAATATAAATAGAAAACAGCTTTTAGGACCTGCTATAGCTATTTTAAATATCTTATAATACCTTTTGGGCTAGCTAATATACTAGCTATATTTCAAGTATATATTAATATTATACTTATAGAACTCCTGAATTATTTTATAGTTATTTATTTAGATAATATTCTTATTTACTTTTGAAATAAAGATAAATACTATAATTATATTTACTAGGTACTTACTAGGCTATATAAAAATAACCTATTTTATAAACTTAGTAAATATAAGTTTAATATTAAGGAAATCAAATTTCTGGGCTTTTTTATTAGAATAAAAGGTATTTATACGAATTCTAAACGGGTCTATAATATTATTAAATAGCCAGAACTAAAATCGTTCTATAATATTCAAGTATTTCTTGGATTTACTAATTTCTATTATAGGTTTATTTACTATTACTTTCAGATAACTATAGGCTTAATAGACTTCTTAAAAAGAATAGAAAAGGGCCGGAAATCCGGTTTCTTTATATAAATAAATAAAATAGCTAAAAGCTTTAAAACTTTAAAAAAAGCTTTTATTATAATATCTATTCTAATCTATTTTAATTTTTCTAAGAATATTTATATTAAAACTAATATATTAAAATTTATAATTACTAGTACTATTTTATAATAAGTTAATTCTAGTAATAGCCCGAAAAAATACTAGTATTTAGTAGTATTCTAGTTCTGGAAACT